TGTGAATGTATTGATGTAGGTGAAAATACAGGTTCAATTTAAGGCTGGTATATGCCATTTTCTTTTAATTTCAGTATGCATATTTCTTATTAAACAGGATGTGTTGATAATTAGTTCTACAATTCTGATGAAGGATTCTATCCTATTATCATTATTATTAAAAAAAAAAAAAACACAAAAGAAAATTTCCTTTACACTTGTTGATTGCTCCTTAAGAGACAAAATAATAATAAAATACATATTTGAGTAGTTGTTGGGTATATATTTCATATGAACCCATTATATACAAAGGCTAGTGTTTTTTATAGTTTTTTTTTTTTACATTTAAAATGTTTTTTTTACTTTCTAAATTCTATAAATACCTAATTTTGTTTTTTAAACTTTTTAATTGTTTTTGTTTTTAACTTTTAATTTATTTTTTTTTTTTTATTTTTTTTTAATTTTGTTTTTTTTTAACTTTTTTTAATTTTGTTGTGTTTTTAACTTTTTTTTTAGAATTTTGTTGTGTTAATTTTTTTTTAATTTAAAAAAATTCAAAATGTTGTTTTTTTTAACTGTTTTTTAATTTTAAAAAAGATTTTTAACTTTGTTTTAATTTTAAAAAAATTGTTTTAATTTTTAAAAATTAATTTTTAAATTTTTTTTTTAACTTTTAAAAATTTTAATCTAAAAAAATTTTTAAATTTTTAACTTTTAAGAAATTTTAATTTTAAAATTTTTTTTTTTTTTTAACTTTTTTAAAAAATTTTTAATTTAAAAAAATTTTTTTTTAAATTTTAACTTTTAAAAATTAATTTTTAAATTTTTTTTTTTTAAAAATTTTAAAATTTTTAATTTTAAATTTTTTTTTTTTTTTAACTTTTAAAAAATTTTAATTTTTAATTTTTTAACTTTTAAAAATTTTTAAAATTTTTAACATTTTAATTTAAAAAAAAATTACCTACAATCATATGTAGGCTACAAAAGAAACTATTTCATCTACCTTACGTGTGTCAATGTGTACAGTATATAAAAACAATATTGACACAAATTTGTTATCAAGCTTCTCCAAATAATTTGCATTGAATTTAGACTCTTTAACAAGTTGAGAACATTTTGCTTTTCAATTTTAATTTTCAAAATGTCAGTCTTTTCTCAAAGTAATAAACCCAATTATTTATTTCTTAACTATTAAGAATTGAATTATATAAAATTAAAATACAAGCTTCCAAATGGTGACATTTGTGAAAGCTTGAAATTTCTTGAGTATAGGTGCATTGCAAATAGATTTTTAATTTATCTTCATTAAATTGCAATGAATGATAAAGAAATTTTTTTCCTAATTGTTAATAAAAGAAAAATTCCATGTTATGTAGTTTGTTTTGGAGAGGTTTAAATATTGTTTCAGGGATATACATTTTGTTTACATTTTTTGCAGCTTCTGTGGTTTGAATTTAAAGTATTGTTTGAAATAACTATTGTTTTGTAAGCAAAAACGGAACTTCTCTCTTTTAATCGTCTAAGAGAACCTTTTTTGCTTTCCACCAACATGGTTGATGCTAACCTCCAGGAGAGTAACTCCTTGCGCCCTGTCGGGCTAACACCAACATGAAGTCGAAAGATTATATTGAATCAATTGCTAGGTTTGCTGTTAAGTTGGTTCACTGTTGTGCAAGACAATTTTTAGGTTATGTCAGGGTCATTTTTAACTGAGAATTTTTTCTTTGGAATAAGCCCATTGGATCATAAACCCTATGATAAGTAGAGATGTGTTTATATAGAAAATTATTGAGTTTATGCATCTATTTATGGTTCACCTATCGCCCTGCTAGTACTACTATGCTTATTGAACAGGAGTAGAGATTTATCCCTTGTTTCCTGTTTAGGATATAGTTTACTGATTCGTGCTTCCAATATCCATAATGATTTAACTGTCTTAACTTTTTGGTGATATGACTGATCACTGGTTTTGACTTTTCATTATGAGGGTACCAGTTTGTCCGTTTTCTGGTTGCTGCTTCCATCTGGTAGTAAGGAACCTAAACTCCTTGGTAGTGCTTAGAAAGGCTGCTCTGATAAACAGTGACATAATATTGGAGTATTTCTAGTGCCATAGCACATATGGGTAGGTATCCCTGCATCTATTTCTGGTGGGCAACCCTGAAGTTTTAGTCTTAGCCACCTTCTGGCCAGTTTGTATTGCCATAGATAGTGATAATGATTTTGGCCTTTTTCTTCTTAAAACAAAATCTTATGACAAATACAATGAAAAGAAATATGTGTAAAGCAGTAACCCCCCCGCAAATCCAACTAAACAAACTTTCTTTATTCATAGCATTAATTCCAATTTCTGCAGAGTAAAATCTTTTCTCTTGAAACAGTCTCCAGATATCTTTGCACTTTGTGAAACTAATTTAAATTCTTCAATGGCTATCTTCCTCTCTGCTGAAAAGATTCTAGTATACATATACATGGCCTTGGTGTTCAAATTTTTTAAAATCTCCCCACAATTGAATCCCCAGATGATGCTTTCATATGCTTTTGACTCTTGTTATTGCACACTGTTAGCTATCTCTTTTTCCTTTATTGCTCTGCTCTCCCTCCTCAGGACTGTAATATATTAAGCAAAATTTTTGATAATGTCGAAATGGCTCACTCTCTGCATTCATCTGAATATTTTTGTGTTTGGTGATTTTAATGCTCACCCCATCAAGTGGCATAAGTGATTGTAATGTTAGTGATATTACCGGTATTCAAGCTTTCAATTTTTCTGTTGCTCAGTCTCTGTTAAATAGTTGATTTCCTACTTGTTACCTAAATAAATCTGTTCAACATTTTTCTTAATTTGATTTGTTCCTTACCTCTTCTCTTAGCTCTTGTAGAGCATAACTTGTTCCTCTTGGCAAATTGGATGACAATGTAGTATCTATTGATATTTCTTTTGAGTCTATTAGAAAAGAACCTCCTATTAACAAGACTATGGTTTATACTATGCTGAGCAGACCTTAGTTACAGTTTATGTGAGAGTGAATAGCCTTGAATGATAAATTCTTTGAACAAAGCCAGTATGCTCAAATCCTCTGTCACATTGACTTGTCTCTGTACGACCATCAGCAGCTACCAATGGTCCTGTCTACCCAATTTCACTCACATGGCTTGGGTCAACTTATGGTATGATTTTCAGGCACTTTCAAAATGTTGTGCACACTAGTATTGCCTCTCCCAGTTGATGACATCAAGAAGCCATTATGACAAATAAATCAACCATGGTGAGATTCAAGCCCAAGTTTCATAGTCAGAAAGTAAACGTTCTAACCATTTGGCTATGCCCCCATACTAGAGATAATTACCCCCAAGCACAATACATAGTAGGCTAATAAAATAGGATCTAAAGAAATAATGCCCCTTTTTATCACTTAATTATTTTAGTACAGCAAGTTGAAATAATTGTGTGAATTGGTTTACATGTGAAATTTACTTAATGTAGCACAAGACTAAATTTGAAAATAAATTTTATTTTATTTAAAAAAGGTGTTCACATCATATTCAAGTAATTGTTACTTTTATGTCCCCCCTTAGAAAAAAAATTGCCAAACATAAGTCTAGCAAGAAAGTTGTCAACACCTCATAAAAACATCCACCTCCCTATTAAAAAATGCTTTTCTGTAATATTTTAAATGAAAAGTAAATAATGTTTCAAATTAAGATTAATTAAACTTTAAATGAGCTAATCTTTCTCAAATAAAATTTCAGAAAAGTATATTTTATTTTTGAAAAATTTTTTAATAAAGAGAATAAACTGAATTTAAATTGATTGGAATGAGTTTTTTTTTATTACCAGTAAAATTGCTAATATTGACAAATCTGTCAACGCAACGTATATATTATAATTTCTCCGTGTTGAATTAAATGCTTCTTTCTTAAAAGAAACTTTGAAAATTATCTTGTATCTCCAATGCTTACTTCTTAGATTTAAATAACATTTCTAAACTTAAATGAATTGAAACAGTCTTGAAAGCTTCAAGGTCTTTAGTGTTGAGTAAAAAGTGCATCTAATTTATTTCTAAAATATATAATTTTAAGTTATTGATGATTGATTTTAAAAAGTTAGAGATCCATTAAAGCAAAAATAGTTCTTCCTTTCATTCATTTTTCTGTCTTTACTCCCCCTCTTGTCTACTCATGTCTGTCCCCTCCCCAATGTGTTCCATCCCTGTACCCACTACCTTATTTCCTACTTCTGTGCCCTCTGACCTATTGTGGCTCATTTCCGAGATGAAGGCTTATGCCCTCCATCGTGTACCCCCTCTGCCCTCCATCGTGTACCCCCTCTGCCCTCCATCGTGTACCCTCTTCCCTCCATCGTGCCCCTCTCTGCCCTCCATCTGTTCCCACCCCCTCTGCCCTCCACCATTGTGTTTCATTTGTACCCCCTCTGCCCCCTATCCATTGTGTTTCATTTGTCCGTTTTCTCTGTCCCCCACCCTCCATTGTGTTTCATTTGTACCCCCACCCTCCATTGTGTTTCATTTGTACCCCCACCCTCCATATTGTTTTCATTTGTACCCCCCCCCCCATATTGTTTCATTTGTACCCCCACCCTCCATTGTGTTTCATTTGTACCCCCACCCTCCATATTGTTTCATTTGTACCCCCACCCTCCATATTGTTTCATTTGTACCCCCACCCTCCATATTGTTTCATTTGTACCCCCACCCTCCATAGTGTCTGATTTTTGTGTCTCTCCACCCACAATTACGTACCATTTTTGCCCCCTCCCCTCTCCACCATGTCCCATTTCTGTTCCCCCACTTCCTCTGCATCCCATTTGTGTCCTTCTACCCTTCATTGCATTCCCTTTCTGTACAACCCCTGCCCTCCATGTACCATTTCTGTGCCTCCTGCCCTCCATTGTGTCCATCACTCCACTTTACATTTGTATTTACATGAAAAATTAAATTTTAGCTTCAGTTTTTCCTGCAGATAATTTTTATTGAAATGAATGTCTTTTTTGTTTTCAGAAATTGGCTGAATCCCGTGATTCTTTACTGCAGCAGATTGAGCTCTTGAACACACAATATGAGCAGATCCAAGATGAACAATTCACATTCCCTGAGAAATTTGGCAAAAAACCTGTAGCTTCGTCCCCGCGTATCAGGCGTAAATTTGACACCTTGCCTCAGGACATCGAGTCGGCGTCCCGAAGTTTGGTGGAGTTAAGCCGTGCAAAAGGTTGCCATGATGAAGAGAAGAGCTGTTGCCGTCTTGATTGCCAGGGTTATCGCAAGCGCTACGAGATTGCGCTGAAGATTCTCACTGAAAAAGGCCTCACCTCCTTAGATAACATGTCCGAAAAGTCATCCTTTGAAGTGGACTCTTTGGATGGGTCCACCAGTGTTGGAGACCAGCAAAGAGATGAGCTCTCTCAAGAACTCCAAGATGAGTACAATGAATTAATGGAAAGAACAGTGACAGAACCGGTAATCAGCAGTTGTTTCTCTGTCAAACACAGTCCAGAAGCACAGTGTTCACACTGTATTGCTCACATCGAGGACAAGCTCTCTCTAAAGAAACGCTTGAGTATTCAGCTGGAGCTTTTTGGTAAAGAAAGGTTTTTATTACAAAACCGATCTGAACATTTATCTGTGGAATTGGAAAATGCATTGCTGATGCGGGACCAGTTACAGAAGGAGTTGAACATTGTCAAAGAAATGCAACAGAGTCACAACTCACTCCCTGCAGAAATTGAATACACACAGCTGAAGGTGAAGCTGGCCAACACAGAGGACCAGGTGGCCTTCCTAAGAAACAAAGTCAGTCAGAATGAAATCGAACGACAAGAACTGAAAACAAAAATCAATGACCTATTTGTAAAGCTTATAGATCAGCAACATTATATTGACACGCTGGAAGAAGAATATTCAAGATCTCGTTCAGCTTGGCACCACAAAGGTACAATGACCTGTGAAGATCATACCTCGGTCCTTCCAGTTAGAGAATTGGAGCCTGGCTTGAACCGGCGCCATTCAGATCCAAGCACAAGTGGACAGTACATCCATAACATTGACGAGTTGTACAGGCCAAAAGATAACCGCATTTCCAAATCTGTTGGCAACCTTTCTCCAGTGGATGACATTAACCTTGAACCAGCTATGTGGCTTCCAAAGATACCACGATCACAGAGAGATACTTCCCCAGATTCTTTGAATAAATCTCCGTTTTCTGATCATTCTAGTCAACCAGAGGAAATTGAGTATTATAAAGGTTATTGTCCTGAAAGAACTGGTTCGAGCCTGAGTGAAGCATCCACATTACTTACTGTGGATGTATTTGTGCCTAATTCTTCAACGCCACAGAGATTGTCAAGGGCAACCCACTCAAGCCCCTCACTTACAACGCTTGGAGAGTTCCATGAATCAGATAGGATCTTTTCAAGTTTTGATACTTCTGACAAAGAGAATCTTCTGCCTTTCTCAGGGAAACATTTAGAACTTATTGATGAAGTTGCTGAACTTAAACATTCACTTGCTAAGACTAAAGAGAAGCACATTCAAGAGACAGCAATTTTGAAGGAGTTTATTGATCAGCTACAGCAGTTTGGCCCAGCTGAGAGAACCGCTTGTGGTCAGTCTGAGATGAAGGGTGACGGCAATAGTTCAACTGAAATTGTATCTTTGTCCTCGGATGTAGTCGACCTGCGTCAAAAGTTGTCGCTTTTGAGAGAGACGTGCCAAAAATTAACTGAGGATAATGGTGAATTGATGAAAAAACTTTATGACCAGGAATGTCTTGTAATGAAAACAAAATATTTAGGTAACCAGACAAATGCCGTTTCTAATTCTGATGAACTTGATGCAGTATTTGGCAAGCAGCTCCTTCTTTTGCAAAAGCACCGGGATGAGCTGTCTCTCAAACTCTGTGAAGAACGGTCTCTTGAGAACCAAATAACAGAGTTGGTGGCAGGTAAAGCTGCTTTGGAACAAACTCTATGTAAAGAGAGAGAAATGAAAGAAGAGTGTGTCTACAAGAAAGGCTTGGTCGACTCTGAATTGACCAGTCTGAAAGCTGTATATGAACACGTCCTGCAGGAACAACTACATCTTGAGCAAGTCATTCGGGACAAAGACTTGGCTGAACAGAAATTACAGGTAGAAAAATTTGACATTCAGCAACAGCTCTCTAACATGGCCTGCAAATTGGAAGAGACCGAAAAAATTATCAAAGATATGCGAGAAAAGGAGTTACCTGAAACCAACAGTGATGACCAGCATTCAGAAAAGAACCTTATTGAACTGCGAGCCCAGTTCTCTCAAGAACTCTATGATGCCAAGAGCACAATTGAAAAGCAGAATATTCAACGTCTGGAAGGTCTCAGGAAGGAGATGGAAGAACAGCATGCCCTTGCTATCGAGTATTTACGTCAGCAGCTACGCAGTGACTTCAAGTTGCGAGAGTCCCGCCTAGAAGAACACCATGCTGCCCATATTGCAAGCTTACATACTATCCATGGAGAACAGGTGCCACCATTTTCTTATTGCTAGTCTTGCTCTTCTTACTTTTTGTCATGAGTTTTTCATATGCATGAAGTTTTCCTTTTCTTTCATACTAACCAAAGTATTTGTGTAGTTTTTTTTTTTTTTGTTTGAAACTGCTTATATTTAAGTTGCTTGAAGTTTTTTTGATGAGATATTCAGACAAATATTTTCAACTTCGTTGTATTTTTTCACTACATTTTATCTTGTGTGTTTGATTTTCCAATTATCATAAAATATTTGTGATAAGTTGCTTTCAGGATTCCATCATCCAAAATCTTTGAAAACAACAGTAGTTTTGCGAGATATATACACACACACACACACACAAGTACAGGATTGCTTAAAAGAGTGCTCAGTACAGAGTAGAGCAAATAGTATTTATTTAAAAATTATAACATAAGCATATTATAACATCACTACAAAAATAGCCATTTTGTTTCAACATTTCTGGTGTCTTGTCAAGTGATGGTATTGATTGCAGAATAAAGAGTTTTAAAAAGTTCAAAACCAACCAAACTCTTCTCAATAGGGGAAACATTATTATGTTATATTAAGCACCAATGACCAATCAAAATAGAAGTATGATAATTAAAAAAAACTTGACAATGAACCCTAGATATAATTTATTAATGCCTTAATGTAAATGTTAGACTAATTTTAGAAATCATTATAACTAATTTATAATTTCACAATAAAGTTTAAAAAAATAAAAATTACAAATTTTAAATTTATCCAGCATTAAGTTTAAAATATATAATTATTCAAAGAAGGAATGGAGGAAAGTATATACACAGACATGACAGAATTGAATAGACGCTCACAGAAACCGTTTATTTTATTAAACAAGTAATTTATACAAATGAAGTAATTATAAATGGTCATAAATTTAATAACTAATATTTGGTTGACATCCTTTTTGCTTTTTTTAATGCAAGGACCCTTCTAGGCATGTTAGCGATGAGTTCAGGAATATCATCTTGAGGGATTTCTTGCCATGTTTGACACAATAATCCTAAAAGTTCGGGCTTAGAAGATGGCTTCCTGTTCTTTTTGCAAAGTTTTCGATTTAATATGCCCCAAAGGTGTTCAATAGGGTTAATATCCAGGGACTGACTTGGCCATGGAAGTTTATTGATCCCATTTTGTCTCAACCAATGTTGCATTGCTTGAGCAGTGTGACATGGAGCTCCATCTTCCATAAATAGGGAGTCAACTTTGCTCATTCTACTACTTGAGTATACCATTACTGAAAGGCCTCCATGTTTCACCGTTGGCTGCAGTCTTTTTAAATCAAACTCTTGACTACAGAGTCTCCATACCCATACTCTTCCACTGTCGGAAAATAATGCGAATCTTGACTCATCAGAGAAAATGACAGTGGTCCAAAAGGTCACAGGTCTCTCCACCATCTCATGAGCCCAATCCTTTCTGCATTTGATATTGGCTGGATGGAGAAGTGTTTTCCTTCTCGCAGCTCTGCCATAGTAGCCCAGCTTGTGAAGATACCTGACAGCTGTTCTGGGACTTACATCAACTTGTGTTGCTATGTCAGAGGCTTTGCAACATGGATCCTGTTCAACATTTCTTTCGACAAGACGCATGGTTCTTTCAGAGGGCCCAGGGCGGCCTGGATGAGGTTTTGTGCACTTCTTGCTCTCTCTGGTGAATTGTACGATCACTCTATTAACAGTAGAAAGAAGTATTTTTCAGATAAGATTTTTGGCAGATATTTTTGTTTGACTTGTTATCTGCAAAATAATCTAAGACCACCTTCCTGTAAAATTTATCTTGGTGTCTATTCAATTCTGTCATGTCTGTGTATATATATATATTTTTATTTGTTTTCATGATATTTTCATTTAGTCAGTTTACTATAAAGGGGTTCAAATATTGTTAACAACTTGGACACAATTGAAGGGATTTAAATTCAGATGATGGAGGGAAGGGAGAAAGTCATACAAATGACAAGGCAGACACAGTCATGCAGGAAATAGATGCATGCCAAAAAAAACAAGTCTTTGATATATCATTCAGTTCCTAGTGTAGCTCTTAATTCTTTTCAAAGCAGAAAATGATCTTGCCACAAAAACAGTTGTAGCAGAAATTGTTGAACTTAATTGCAGCAACTTTATAGTTTAATAAGCTCGTTTTGAAAATGTCTTAATTCACTATCCATTTTTGGAAAGAAAAAATATAAATGTAAATAAACTAAGACTGAAAAAAAAAAAAAAAAATAGGCATGCAACCTCACTCTATGGAAGATGCCAGACAACTGACAGATTTATTCCTGCCTTCATAGTGCATAATGTAAACTGCATTGAAGGGGTGTATGCAACACTTGGACTACACTACTACTATACGTAGCTTACATACTGAGATTGAAAGGCAGGAGCAAATTATGCCTACCTAATCTACAAAAAATAAAATATTTTGCATTTTATGCATAATAGAGTAACCATCATAATTTTGTTGGATTAGGTGCATATTATGCCATGGAAGAAAAACGTAACTGCTGATCTATTTTATTCAAGGTAGGCATGACCTATCTGAGATAGATATATAAAAAAAAAATAAGATTAATCTTGAAGGCTTTCTTTGTAATCAATTATATCTTATTTTGTTTTTTTGTAATGAAATATATATGGCACATGCTGTCAGTAATTACTCAGGGTAGGCAGCTTGTAACCTTTATGTAGTATTGATTTTCTAAGTGTTACTTAGATGTGGCACAAGGCCGAAAGTATGGGGCACCCAATGAGGATCGAACTCGCTATTCAATCGTAATTGTTTTAGCAAGACAAGCTTGCTAACCATTACACCACGCTAAGATGCCCAAACCTTTATGTAGTAAATCTACAAAAAAGTAAATATTTTCATTCTGTGCATAATAATCAGTCACCATCATAATTTTGTTGGATTAGGTGCATATTGTGTCACAGAAGGAAAATGTAGCTGCTGATCTATTTCTTTCAGGATAGATATTGCCTATCTTGCCTTCCTAGACTGCATGTCCATGAGATATATATATACATACACACACGCCTGTTTTTTGATACAGATCATGTGTTACAAAACTCTCACCAATTCAGTTGGATGATGAGTTTGGATTGATTTTTACCTGAAATGTCCCTGCAACTTAATCTTTACCAAACACATTTGTATCTTCAGTTTCCTATATTATTTGAGTTCCTGCACATTCAATTAAAATCCAAAGATGTAAATATTCTCTAGCATGTATGGTTGTTAGCAAAAGAGACAGCACAAGGTATCATTTATGCATTGGGGACTTCAAAATCAGACCGCTACAGAAATTCAACATTCTGGCTAGTAACATGATAGAATATGTGACAAATCTAAAAGTCCATAGTGTGTAATTCCATGGTCTCAAGCAGAGCAAGAGGAAAAAAAGATGGCAAGATTAATATAAAAGAACACAAATTATTTATTCCAGCTATTATATGTCAATGTAACATAGAATGTGACTCTTGTCAAAGCTTTTCACTGACTGGCCAATGATTATCCCATGTTGCATCCTTTATCTTGCCAGTATACACCCAAAACTGGGGAAAGGGCCTGCTGCATGCTCATAAGGTAACAATGAGACAAATGCCACATCAAGTAATAATACAAACTCTGTTTTTTATATTATAAAATAGGTATTTTTATTCAGGGCTTGGCTTGGTTGTTTGGGTTGGTAGGTAAGTGATACATGAGGCAACTTCTGCTATATTGGTCTATCAGCTCAGCCTTTTCTTCCTGACAACTGATCACCTATTTACACATGACATGTGGCTGACAATATGAAAGGGCAGCATTGGAACCATGTGATGGACAAGTCTATCTTCTGCCAAGGGCGAAACTGAACTGACTCTAATCCCAAGTATAACTTAATATAAACCAACATCTGGATACACCCTATTCCTAGTTTGTTATTTGATCTCTATAAACCCCTCATCCACTCCTTTATTTCCCTGTTCCCCTTTGATCAAAGTTGATGCCACTTAGAAAATTAGATTTAAATAGGAAACACTGGAGGTTGAGATAAAACCACATCTTTTTCTATGAGTGTGTCCATAGTATCATTGGAAACGGCAACAATGATTCTACGAACAGAATGTCATGTCATTTATAGTGTTTGATCAGTTGTATGATTTTTAAAAAACGCTATGTCAATTTTTGTATATTATAAAGGGTGTTTCAGTAACTTGGACCGATTCTTAAATGTGAATTAAGTTTAAGCGTCATAATTTTTTCTTTCAGATTTAACAACTTAAGTCTTTGGCAATTTCAACCTTGGAAAGATTAACAATCAAACAATGTGTTAAAGTTTCAAGAGTGCAATTGGAAAAATTCTTTGTAAATTCAAGCAAACTGGGTCAGTGGCAGATACGAAAATACCACTGCATGCTCCTTTACACCTATTTACCAGACACCTATTCGCCATCATGCACAGGAATTGAACATCTCCGCAACATTACATCGTTTCCAATTGCACTCTCAGTTGGTTATATTGACCAAAAAAAAAATCAAAGTGCGTGAAATGCATTTCTGTTTGAATGTCTATTCTTGTAATAGGCTTTGATAACTTTAACACGTTGTTTGATTGTTAATCTTTCCATGGTTGAAATTGCCAAAAACTTAAGTTGTTAAATCTGAAAGAAAAAGAAAAAAAATCATTAGATGCTTAAATTTAGTTCACATTTAAAATCAGTCCAAGTTATTGGAACACCCTTTACTATAAATCTTATTTCAATAGAGAGAAAATGTTTCTTCTCTCATATATTTGCTATGACATAGACACTATTGTTGTCAGCAGCTGTGGCTTTATCTTGTATCCAAGAATTTAATTCCTTCTTTGCTGATTGCTTCCTTTATGATGATGGCATTGATGACTACATTCGCTGCCAACATGCAGGTTCAGAAATAGAATCTTCCAGTTTCACTAAAACCTGCTCTAGCCATCGATTCCCTATTGCCGTTTAGCCTTGCAAGAGTTGGGGGTGAAA